GGGTTGTCGCCAGTTATTCATTGATATAAAACAATTATAGCAAATGTATTTGCTTCATTATTTTATTGAAACAAATTGCCATACACTCATTCGATCTAGGTTATTATCATTGTGCGAATGTGCCATATACATCGCGTTATATATATATTCTATTTAATAAATGAAATACTTCAGGATTGGCACAAGCTACGACGTTCTGAAGAATTTTGTTACAATTAATTAGAAAGAACGGTTATTTCATAAGAATTGATTCCAAAATTTCAAATAATTGAAATTGCTCTTTTTGTGTAAAATCATGATTCATATCAGTTTTTATGAAAGATAATTTAGAAAGTTTCAAGAATTTGTCAAAAAATATATTTCAAAATCGAAATTAAGTGCCGGATAGAATCTCGAGTATTTAACCAATTCGGATAGGACAATCCCCACGGAGACGATCCCACCCACCCAAAGGTGTGTCCTTACAAATTCTTGTAGCTTGACCAGGGAGGTGGAGAGGCATCTTTTAAATATTAAATACGTTTCCCAAGTATGACTGTTTACTACGAATAAATTTTCCACTTTCCAATACCGGGAACGGAAATCAGTTCCATTCAATTCGTTACACTGTTTATCTTCACCTTATATTATTAACGATCGCCGCAGCGACTTTCTCGAGCTTCCTCACCTATGTTAGATCTATTTGACCTATGACCTCCAACGTCATTCCTATATTTAAATTCCTTCTTATTAATCAGATGCGTCATTTTTAATTACTATCATGTCGCCTACGGTAAACTATTTTACGGAACGCTGATATTATTTTGAGTGGTTCGAAACGCTTGCATCACACTTTCGCAAATTTTATTCAGTAGCGTTTCGTTTGACCAAAATTAGCGGTTTAAAGCGCGATAATCAAACGACATCAAGTCCATGTATCTGAAACAAATAACTGGCTAACTAATCCCATACCCGACATGGTCTGTTAACCGGACAAGAGGCCATGGTTCGTCATGTGATTAATTCGTCTTATAGGCTTTCCTTTCTGCCGGAATAAATTTGTAAATCATACCCTTCCCTGCTAATAAACCGTAGATTCAGTACAATTTAATACAATCGTTAGATTGTCAATTTTATTACTTTTACTATGATTTAGAAGCAACTCACAAGACCAGAACAGCCCACGTTCACGACTTGTAAATAAATAAGAAATTCCATGAAATAAATTATGTAATTAAAAACGTCTGACAAGATATTGATTTCTGAAAGAGATATGACGTAATCCTAATAATATCGTCGTGAGAAGTTAAATCGTTTTAACTAGGTCGCGTAGGCGGGCTGTTAACTTGTTAGCCATATACTTTATACAAATAGTTTCCACGGGGTAGTACATTAGAAACTTTTTTTTTTGACACATTTTCGACGTATTTTTAAGAGAGTGTGAAATGTACACTTACACAAAAATCTTTCGTTTTCTTGTATGTTACGACCAATAAATGCAATCCTTGAATATATAAACGGTGTCTTTATATCATTTGCACACTATTTAACAAGAATTTATTGTGGAGACGCGCCACGCAAACGTTTTATCTATAGCCTACCTATAAAGATTATTAAAGTCCGTGCTAGATTTCTTTTTCTTGACCAGCTCGGAAATTCTTAACATTTTATGACGTTATATCTATTGATGACGTTGTTTTGTGGCCAATACCTACGCTTTGTCTTTATTTCTACCGATGAATGCAACAACTTAAATGTATAAAAGATGAAAATTCTCTTGTACACCATTCCACAAGAAATTAATGTGGAGACGCTTTACGCAAAGTTTTTGTTTGCTTTTATATGAGTAAGGCAATGATAGTCACTTTGTAGTTTTTCATGCTTGGTAGAAAGTTCTTTATGGCGTCTTAACTATCTATGACGTCATATTGCGGTTACCACCCCGATGCATGCCGTGGATGAAATCATGTAACGTTTCTTCGCGTTCTTTTGGCATCAACAAATACGATTATGACGTCATTTTAGAATGGCAACTTTACATTATGTTTTAATGAAACAACTTTATATCTGTCACTATCGGCATCTAAGTAGTTTGCTGTTCATGTGACCCATACTTGTTGAAGTCTTTTTAGATTATGATGTCGATATTTTTCGATGAGGTAGCGAAATAAGAACATCGTCATGTCATGAAGAATTGGGATAATTGACCACGAGCCCGTGTTAGCCAATGATAACTAGACCAAACGATGATGCATCTATGTTTTTGAGGTTATTTATCATTATTCACATGACAGATATAAATGTTAGTTTCTACTATAAATACAGCTGAATTTGAACGCTTGTTTACGGAATAACGTGGAAACTTTTGTAAATACTACAATTCTGGAAAATAGGTAATTGAACATGCATGATTTTCACGCACATTGAGTAAAAAATGTGAGATGAATTTGAAAGTTCCCAGAGTCATCAGGCCAGCAGTGTTACTGGTATATATAGCGTGTTCATAAAGTCTTAAAAAATTTTCAAAATCGCGAAGGGAATTTATCGATACCGATGTATTGAATAAAGTAAGAATACTTGAACAATTACTGATCAAAAAACAACCAATCTGGTTAAGATATATTCAGAACTGACTTCGTAACAAAATGGAAATTGTGAAGGGACTTTATGAACACCCTGTATATCTGCGTGTGCGAATATACATCGCTTTAAATGGGAGTTGTTTTATCTTTTCATTTCTGGCCTCGACGGCTAGGTTAACATTAACAATATATATACCTTCCTCACAATGAGCATCTAGCATTCGACAAAGGGGTGATTATGTTAGGCATTCTGATTACAGAAACTGGTAAAAGCTGTATCAGATTTTCAGGCGAAATTAGTGATTCAATGTGAATTGCTATCGATTGAACTGAGCATATGTAACTTGCTCAATATTCAGCCATCTGACAGCGCTATTGTAATCTAAACCTAATTCCCTTTTAAATCATATAATCATTCCCACCAGAGAATAGAGAATGCAGGGGGTTGAAAAGCCGATCTTGCCCGCTATTTGATTTGTGTTGAAACACTGAAGCGGTCTCGAACAGTGAACCATAAAATGAAAGTACTTCCGACAAGCGATGGTTTGCGCGGGGTGTATGGATGGCTTTCGCTTTCCAATTGTGAAGCAAATGTCTGACCAGACCCAAGTCACGGATTGACTCTATCACGAACTTCATCGTTTGTATATTACCCAACAGCTGCCTTCTTCCGTGTGCACATTTTTGTTAACCAATGTTAATTTCGAGCTTTGACAATATGATTGTCTGTTCTACACCTTTTGGAAGGGGGGGGGCTCGGCGGTTCATAAAAATCACTCACTTACCGGTACCTCATATTTCATTTCCTCAATTTCGGAACATTCGAAACTGTTCAGTTAACACTGATCTTCTATTCGTATTCGTCAGATTTCATTCAGTTACAGACAGTCGCTGTTTCGCCAAAATATGCTAAATGTGAAATATTTTCTCATGTCTATGTTTCATGGAACTTAAATATTTTTGTATTATCGACACGATAACAGTTTTACTATTTTTCTTAACATTTCAGTTCTATTCGAATGGATATTTCCCTTTTTAATTTAGTGTTTTTACTGGCTATTTGTTGTACATGTGAAGGATGTTCGAGCGATCAGCTGTGATAATCAAACCACGGGCGCTAAATGATCGACATAATACGTCACGATCGTAATTAACATTACGCACGACCTCACGTTATGCCTTCATAAGTTGACGTACAAACGTCTCTTGTGCAGCTGTCACTCTTCGCTAATAACCAGCTAGGCCTGTTTTCTGCTTGTCGTCTGAGTTGTTAAGATGTGATAAAGTGAGGTTTGTTCAGTGGAAATTTACCGTCAAATATATTCAGAAAAAAGATACTTTTGTTTGATTTCAGAATATTTTGAAGTTACTGCTTCTTCAATGTGGTTCTTCAAAATTCTAACTGAAAGAAGTGTATTGCTCATTACCTATCATAAGGAATGAATGTTTGATTTCAATAAATACATAAAATCAAACAATTTGGAGTCGCTGATATTCTCAGTTCAGTGGAATTCAGATAAAGATGCTTTTTACTTGATTTCAGAACATTTTAAAAATTACAGATTCTTCAGTGTTGTTGCTTCTAGCTGAAAGGGACATATTACTCATTGGGTATCAAAAGGAATGTTTGGTTTCAATAAATATATACAATGAAACAATTTGTGAGTCACTGATATTCTCAGTGGGGAGCAGAGTTATTTATTTAACAGTATTGAAGTTTAAAATTTCGCCCACATGGACTAGTTAAGATAGACGTTGGTTCAATATATATGAACCTAATCATGATTCAATATTATTATTATGTACTACTTGGAATAGCACATTTTCTGCAAAAGTTGTATGCTAGTCTATCTTGGATCTATTTTTATTTGAATATCACATTTTTGCTTCCAAGTTTGAGCTTTGTAATAGAGTCTGGGCTTTGTGTTGGTCCAATTTCAACTCAATTTTTCTGTATTGACCATATTTTCCGCTATTTTTCGGGTTCATTTAATCTAATCCCCTTGTCATACATGTCTACCGTCATTAAACTATCTAATATCTCACCTTAATCTTATTAAACTATGGAGTATGTCTTATTCTCTTCGCATTTATTTGGGATATACCCTCTGTTTTTACGCAGTTTAAACTCTAAATTATAGGGTTATTTTATTTTATATTAGTTTCAGACCCCCTGGTGGCATTGGGTCGAACTGTTGTTATTATTGCTTCCTGGGCAATAGCCTATTTAGAGGACCTATTTCAAAAGTGAGGTTAATTATAAAATAGTATTGCTATCCTTCCAATTATGTTACATGCTCTCAGATGTACTTGCGCGAGTTTTGAACCTTCAGGCCTTATTGCTAACTCTATTTCTTCTATATTTTCCATCTAGCTTTACTTTAATGCTTCCTTCACCACTCTCTTCATTCTCTACATTTCTTTCTTTGCTTCTCTAAGGCACTTCTTTACCCAACATGCGTCCAAGTGTCGTTATAAGAGCCGAAGATGAAGACAAAGTCGTTGAAAAAGAAGACAAATATAAAGAAATTAAACGAGGTTCGATTGTGAACTTGCATGGATTTTATTCACTTTTGCATGTGGAAGGTGCCGTTTCATATGTTACTAAAAGGCCGAAAATTCGGTACTCCGTAGTGTGTTTATCATGTTAGGGTTAGGCCATAATTTTATTCCGATTTTCCCTATTTTAGTTCTATTACGAGTCCGGGGACTGTCTGTGTTACCCAGGTGAGTATACCCCCTGCCCATAGGTTTCAGTCCCTTCATATAACCTGATGTTAAGTATATTGATACACACACTTCTGGAGCGCCGAAAATTTCTTCAAACTTATCTAGAGTTTCGATTCGCACTCGCAAATTTATTTCTCCCACCTTGGCCTTTTTGAGACTTTTACGTTATTTTACCGTCAGCAGTTTAAATAACTTCAAAAAAGTACATCTCACAGTTTACGAAAGTCAGATTTTGATCAGGGGAAATGGCGTTTCTGTAATGTTCCGTCTAGCCGAAATTTCATTCTTATTTTGTAAATGACTTTGGGACCTCCTGAAGTATGCGCACCAAGATGGCGCACAACCTAAACTCAGGTTGTGTACCAGGTTAGGGTTCAGGTTGCGCGACATCATCTTGGTGCGCATACTTCAGGAGTACCTGACTTTGGTTAGGGAACATTAAGGTAGCACATTTGTATAAATAATTAAATATAAAGAAAGACTCAAAAATAACCGCTAAATTTGTTTCCAGTATATACTTGTACTTGTGCCTATACAGTATACACAAACGCAAAGTATAAGGAAAAGAGAAACAATTTCCCCCAATGTCAGTAGTAGTTCAATCATCATGTGGAAACAAAAAGACAACGATAATTTTTCATTAGATGGACTAAATATATCCGCCCTATAACGGGGTACTTTTATTTGGCATTTGCGGATTACGTTAGATGACTTTTACCGGATATAAGTATAAATGCTATTGGAGGTCAATAACCTCACAGACTAAAGCTAGTATTTTCCTATTGAATACTTGACCTCAGAAGTCCGCATGCATGTTTTGCTTGTGCGACCTCGCAGACCAGTCTTGATGATTCCAGACAGACGCCGGCTATTGACCCGAAATTGCTTTATTTTATTGATCAATTCGAAGACTAGTACCAAAGTACCATAACAATAAGCAAAAAAAATTATATAGATATTTCCTAAACGCTTGACACGTTGATTAATCGACAACAGGCAGTTGTTCATGTTTTTCTTTCATTTTTGCTTTTGGTATTGATTTTTTCAATGTTTATTGTAGCCATTCCTCTCTATATAAAACTCCATCGCAGTTGCTTCTGGCATTAAGTCCTCGCTTGTAACTTTCATCTGATATGCTTCCAAGCGCTTAAAGCAAATTCTAATAAGTTAAATACGGCAGTGCTATCGTACAATTTTCTTTTTTCGGCACATTGTGAAATTTTATTAGCGCGCATTCCGAGCTGAATAACAAATGAAGTTCAGTGCAATGTAAATAATTACGATTTCAATCTTTACCAATAAAATTTATTGCAAGTTTGCCCTCTTGGGCGAACGCTTATCTCCCAAACTTTATGACTTTATTTGTCTCGGTTTGTTATTTGCTACTCAAATCTTGCATGGACCAAGAAAAATTTGAATACAACCCGCAGTGTGTGTGATACGAATTGTCAAGCGAAAAGATCCATCAAAAATTTTGCTCTTATAGAGAAAATGAACCCTAATTAAGATTGAATGAGAATAACTCGGGTAGGACATTTTTCTTCGACTTTCCATGAATGGGAGATCATATTATATTTTCCAATTGCAGTCGCCCATGTTCGGCCAAATGTTGTCGGTGCCTAACCTCATAATTACTCAAATGTCAATGCGATATATTCATCTTCCATGGATCGCTTACTTGCGTTAGGGCTGCTATCAACGGCATTAGAGAAGAGTTTCTATGAGCGGTAATATGATTATGGCAATGATGTTGAAATGGATTTTTAAATGCCTAGGGAAATATACCACGCATTCATTCGCGGGCATTTAAATTTTTGCGTGATAGCATTTTTATTGTTGCGTTAGAAGTTTTATTTGGAAGCTGAATTCGTCAATATACTATATAAAGAGCGATTTTGAAGAGGAAGGAACAAATACCATGACTGTGATTTCATATTTTCATATACGCTTCAGCATGTATATTTTCTAGAATTGTGTGGGTTAGTCTTTGCGACAAAGAGCAGAAAGTCAGAGATGTTTTTGACGAAATTGATCCAAATTTTGTGGATTATGACTCCTAAGACCACACACATTCATTCCTCGCTTGTGTAATCTCCAATTTTATCATGCGCTTTTATTAAATTGACTGTTGTCAGTGTTGTGCACACGAAAATTGAAGGTTTTAGGCAAGATCATTGTGCAAAAAACAGCACATTTAGATTGCTATTATGTACTAACTGTGCTGCTGAGAATTGAACCCAACGTATTTTCTGCATATTTAACGACAAGTAGTTTTCCGATGACATTGACTAGTAAAGATTCAATATAATGTGTGCTTTATTTCATTTTTGTGGTGTCAAAATTATTTTAGTAAACCATGCATTTATGTAACTTTAACTATCTCTAGCGCATAGCTCTTCTATAGACGTAAACTGCGCCACCCTTGTACGTCTTCAGCGAATCGTATTATATTTCGAATATGTTTTTATTGTCGCTAAATACCTTTCCATAATTCTTTACGTAGGCTAGAGTACTCTTTCGATGAGTGAGGCGTCAATTGTGGTTATGTGAAAAATAATGATGCAGTTTTTGTATTTTTGAGGCGTTCACATATCCATAAGATTACCCTATTTGGTACTTGGTTTTTTCCTGGATTTCCGTATTTTTCTTCACTTTTGTTGTGGTTTTTCCATGTGTAGTGTGCCAGAGACTAAACGTTTTTCGTTAAATATAAGGTACAAATACAGATCCATCTATAAATAGTTGATTATTTCAAATTTTTCTTGGCAATTTATTTTGATTTCAGATATTTTTTTGGGGTCCATTTTGATCTAAATCTGGATGTGAGCTAAATTTGCACCGTTCATTCAGCAATTTCTGTCAAAATCGTTCAAACTCTATTATTTGTATCTTTCTAGTTAGAGTAGTAGCATGAAAGAGAGTTTTTGTATTATGCAACTGTTAGTTAGTGGTAGTATTTATATTGAAGTCGTCTGATGTCTTATTTGGCAAGTTACAGGTGTCCAAACAAAAATTGGTCATTTGTATTTGTTTGCTTTATTACATTGTTAGTCATTGGCTGAAATAACTCTATCCGTTGGCCGAAGTTTGAACGTACATATGACGAGGTTGTTCATTGTAATTCAGATTTTCTCATGTTCTGTCAGTGCAATTAATTTAATTAAGTCTGAATCAATGCTACTCAAATGAGAATATAAATACAATGTACTGGTTCATAATCGCAGAATTTATTAATCATTTATTTTTATTTTGGATTCACGATTGATTCAGACTTTTGTTCAGAAATATTTCACTTATTATGCGCTTGCCCAAGTCCCAATAAGCTAGGCTATTGTGCACGCGTCACCAGGTCTCTAAATAAAGCTATAGTCAGGATGGAGATTTGAAATTTCAGTACAACTGCAATTGCCAATAATCATGAGATTGCATACCTTTCAACACAAAATTCAAAATAATGGGATTTTAAGATGGGTCACGGCCTCACAGGTATGCAATTGAACGCATTGTAAAATCGTTATTCTTGGAATCCTTATTATTATCTGTCGTACGTTACGCCGTGACAAAAACAACCCTCTATTTCTTATTTATTCATGGTGCATTGCTTCCGATGTCGTGGGTCCCAAGTTAATCCAATCTTTACCCTAAACCGCATTGTTCCTAAAACAGCCGTACCCTGTTATTTTGGTTCAACTTTCATGTCGGTCAAGCCCAATTTAAATCGTATTCTTGGGTTAATCCGAAAATTGATATCACCCACAGTGTTTTACTCCGTTGTCAGTGATGTTATGAAATCACTACTTTTTTGAGCGACATAATTACTTCGCTTGCATTCCAATCTGTTTTCTACGTGCGGGGATAAAATTCAGTTTTGTGTTTTTCAAGTTAGTCAAGCTCAATTTGAATTGTATATCCAGTGTCCATCTATCCCACGAGGACATCCATTTTTGGCATCGTACTTCTTGCAAACACGTACTTATAAGATGCTGTAATTTGTACATCAAGAATGTTTTGCACGCCAAGAATAAAGCTAATTCGTTAGGACGGATTATTTCGCTTGTTCTTACCATAATATATCAAATGCTTATGCCTAATATATATCAAATAAACGGAAACTTTACTGGATACTGATTTGTCATTTTATAATATACTTTTACACCGTCGCCCCCAAAACCACGTTCAAGCATTCAACATAGGAAATGTTTGGGCTCTGTTAAAGATGTTAATTGGTAAATTGTTGTGATTCGACATGTACCATTTTACCCCCCTGATGAGTTGACTGCCTCAGACCACAATCATGTTGTAAAAAGCTATAAGTTGTTTTTGACCGTTCTACCAACATGGCAATGAATGAAGATAATTTGAAAATGAAATCATGATGGGCAATTTAATTGCTTCCGTTCGTCCATAAGTTAAGGTCACTAAAACCTTTCTGCATTTTTTCTTCGGGTTGAATACAAGGGCAGAGACAAAGAAAATATATAGGAATGTGTGCCCCATGCTGTCATTATTAGTTGTTTGTCGATTGATTGGTCATTAATGACCAGGATTTTGTCGGCTATGCTTTTTCTGATTATATATACCTAATCGGGGATAACACTAGAGTGATTTTTGCATTTGGGTATTGGTACTTTGATAATCGTTTTTGAAAAGAGCCGCCGACAGTATTTGCCTGACTATGTGCGCGGTGATAAATTATCAGGGATAATACAAAAGTTATTTTTAGATTAGGTAATAATGATACTTTAATTGTTTTTGAGACGTCCGCATAGCAATGTTTGCAACCCTTCCAGTGGGTAAATGGGTAATAT